AACAACACATAAAACAAAACAGGTAGCTCGGTGAAAAGTTTCCCTTAACTGGGGCTCGTCAAATAGGGATCTTCTACGTAAAGAATTTCAATCTCCATCAGGAAAGAAGAAAGAAAGCATATCCAATTCCTGGAAGTCTAGTGAAAATGATGACTCTGGTAAGGAATGGGGGGTTGACAGAAAACTAAACTTCGGGGGCTGGACAAACAAGCTCAAAGCCAAGTGGTTGGTTCAGTAGGGGGACTAAGTTTAAAACCCAATTGATTTTACTTGATTTGCTTGTCAAAATACCCATCTCCTCTTCATGGCTGGTAGTTGAATAATATGAGAGTTTAGGGTTACCCACACACTTTAAAAAATCTGACTCCCTTATCCTTTTGCTTTTATTTATTTATTTATTTTGTTATTATTAAAATCTTATCTCTAAATTAGAGATTTCCACCATAAATTTATTTTAGGTTTAAAAATTAATTAAAAGACCTTCCAAATATTTAATTTGCACTTTAGGATTGACCACAAAAATATTTGAGATTATAATATTATTATTATTTAATTATTTACTTAATTTATATTCGGGTTCTCACAGAATAGGTTGCTCAGTCAAAATTTTCCCTCAACAAGGGCTCCTCAAATAGTGACTTGTATGTAAAGAATTTCAATCTCCATCAGGAAAGAAGAAAGAGTCACCTTCCAATTCCTAGAAGTCCAGTGAAAATGATGACTTTGGTAAGGAATGGGGGTTTGACAGAAAACTAAACTTGGGGGCAGGACAAACAAGCTCAAAGCCAAGTGGTTGGTCCAGTTGGGGGATTAATAAATTTTCAAAAAACTGTTTTTGGAAATTCAAAAACCAAGTAAGTTTTGGATTTAAAATTTATAAAAATTATTTTTAATATATACAACCAAACAAAATTTTAAGAAATTTGAAATTTGAAGTTATGATATCGAGGTCAAAAATATGGTGTTTTGAAGAAATTTGAAATTCAATCATAAAATCAAATGGAGGAGGGTAGAAGATAAAATGCTATACTAGTTCGTGACTTGTCAACATGCAGTGACTTGTCAAGGCAGTTTGGTCGGGTTCAATCAGTTTTTTTGGTTTTTTCGATTTTTCTTACATCCCTAAGTACTCCTACCTAACCCACGTTTCACTCACAAGATCCACCATTATTTTAAAGTTTATTTCAAAAGTTGAGATTGTAAATGTTTCCCAAAATATTACAAATTGAATATTCAAAAGTTGATTTTAAAATAATTCCAAATGACAACAAAAATTCAAATAGTCATACTTTTCAATGAAATAAAAATAGTTGGTCGTAACAACGAATGATGCATAGTTAAGTGAAACACAACATTGCCTACATCAGTTTCCTTTTTCACACATTGAGTAGTCAAATCGTGGAGAGACTTGTCAGTATATGCAGATGGATTGTCAAGTCATGTGACTTGATGCACAGGCTTTGGTTTTCTCAAATTTTTGCTCGATTTTTTTATTATAGTGGCAACTCATCTCTTATTGATATATGTGGGATTCTTAATTCAGAAAGTCACATGGCAACAGTGAATTCACTGATTTACCTTACAGTGAGCATGCCCTTATTTTGTCAGTATATGCAGATGGATTGTCAAGTCATGTGACTTGGTGCACAGGCTTTGATTTTCTCTATTTTCTGATTACAGTGACAACTCATCTCTTATTAATATATGTGGGGTTGTCAATTCAGAAAGTCACATGGCAATAGTGAATTCACTGATTTACCTTACAGTGAGCATGCTCTTATTTTGTTGGTATATGTAGATGGATTGTCAAGTCACGTGACTTGGTACACATTATTTGCTTTTCTCTGTTTTTTCATTCTAGTGACAACTCATACCTTGTTGGTATATGTGGGATTGTCATGCAGAGGCATTTATTTTTTATGATTTTTCCTTCAATGTCTTTCTAAAGCCGTTCATAACCAACTATATAAACGACTAAAGGTGAAGACACAACCTTACAACTCATTTCGCCTTACGAAATTATTTTTCATTTGTTTAAAAAAATTAGCATGGCTACACGATTCATGGGAGGGAGTGGGAATTGCAGAGGTGGTAGGAACTTGCAAAGGGGTGACAGTTCACGACGAGGAGGGGGAAGAGGACGTGGCGATGCTGAAGACGAAACAACAATACCTGTTTTAGATTATGCTTGCGGTTATCGTGATAGGTTTGGGAAGCGACATTTTTTGATGCCCAAGTATTATCAAGTTCAAGGAGGTTCATGTATGGAGCCATCTGACAATCAAACAGGATATGGTTTATCTGACGCTGCTCGTCTCAAGTGGCCCGCACTAGTTATAGAGCGGGTACAGTTGGAAACCTTAAGTCGGGAAAATCAACTTAAGGTGCCAAAAGCACGTTCTGTTGAGATCCAAAAGGAAGATCCTGATAATGTTGATCGGCACGTTCTGTTGAGATCTAAAAGGAAGATCCTGATAATGTTGATCGACTATGTGAAAGACTACAACGTGAGATTTCTCAAATGCGCCGTAGGTTAGCCCGCGATATGCAACTATACATAGTTAAGAAGGATGCCCAGAAGAACAGAACATAACCAAATGTTGCGGCTATCAAGGGTATCATGGAGGAACCTGAACTTGTCTTTGACGCTAAGCTTTCGAATTATTCAGACTCTGAGATTGCCGAATTAAGCGCGAATTAGGTGTTAATGTCTACACTTCGGCAATATTAGGTCATGCATTAATATGTAATGTCTGTGTTAGACTAAGTGTTTCCGTAATGAGTTTGTCAAATTGTCTGCTAATATTTGTCTGTCTAATTGTTATGTTTATGTATTGTGTGTTCAGTTCAGGGTGTCCAGGATGTATGCATTGTGTGTTCAGTTTATGGTGTCCAGAATGTATTTTTGTGGGAGACTTATGTCTGTACTACCTACGTAACTGAAAACTGTTACATTTGCAATTTCAGTTATGTTGTTTTCATGCCTGTATGAGTATTTAGTAAATTAGTGACTTCGTATATTATGTATTAAGTTTTATAACAAAAATGTTGACAAAATTTATTTTAGGAGAAATACACATTCTCTTAACTTGTTCATCTTCTCAATAGTGACAACCCAAAAATGTAACCATTATTCATTGAATATAACAAATAATGTTCTCATTCTTACAAAAAATACACTACCAATTGAATAAAACAAATAATCTTTCCATTCATTCATTCATTGCACAACATCAGTCTTATGAAATAAGCGAAACCAATTGAATCACAATAACATCAACTCCAACCCAATATTTACATTACATAAGTTCATGTTCGTAATCCGAATTCAAATTACATACAAGTTACATTACATAGCAAAAAATGAAAAAAGTACCATTCGTATGTAAAAAATACATCACCAAAATTTGAGGTCTTTCTCTTATTTCTTCTTGCTGCAGCTCTCGCGGTGGTCTTCGTCTTCTTGGCCTACTCCACGGTGCTCTTCGCGTCTCACCCTTCGCCGTTGTTCGTCCAACTGCACAGTGTGTGGGTGTGCTTCGGACTGTAGAACATGTATATCACCTTCTAACCCAAAACAAAGATGAAAGAAATTTTTATTTTTTTTAATGAAAACGACTAGAAAACGGTTTTACTAAACCGGTTTTCTGAATTACAATATCACCTTCTAACCAAAAAAAAAGACAAAAGAAAAAAAATATATATTTAAATGAAAAGGCTTTAGTAAAGCCAAAATAAATTTCTAAATAACACATTCTAATCCAAAACAAAGACAAAAGAAAAAAAAAATTTACATGAAAATGGCTTTAGTAAAGCCCAAAAACATTAATGAATTACATTATCACCTTCTAACCCAAAACAAAGACAAAACAAAAAACAAAAAAAATTTACATGAAAACGGCTTTAGTAAAGCCAAAAAAAATTTCTGAATTACACCTTCCAACCCAAAACAAAGACAAAAGAAAAGAAAAAATTTAACATGAGAACGGCTTTAGTAAAGCCAAAAAAAATTTATGAATTACATTATCACCAAAGCAATGACAACAGAAAAAAATAAAATAAAATAAAATTTAAATGAACAGTAAAAGCATGGTTTCAATCCACGCTTATTATAGTGAACAGTGAAAGCGTGATTCACAATCACGTTTTCTTAAGAAAATAGTGAAAGCGTGGTTTAGAACCACGTTTTCTTCAAAAAACAAAATTTAAACAATATGCACAGTGAAAGCGTGGTTTGGAACCACGTTTTCTTCAGAAAACAAAATTTAAACAATATGCACAGTGAAAGCGTAGTTTGGAACCACGTTTTTTTCAGAAAACAATTTATCTTAAAAGCGTGGTTTGTAACCACGCTTTCTTAATTAAAAGCGTGGTTTGTAATAGCGCTTTCGATATTCATCAAATTTTCTGCTCCAAACAGTGAAAGCGTGATTTGTAATAGCGTTTTAGCCTAGTTTGGGAATTCCGTCCAAACTAGGCCTAGTTTGGGAATTAAGATAGTAATTTGGCTTAATATGGGAAAATCCTCCATCAGTGGTCCCCCCCTCTCTATCTGAGCATCTTTATCAAAGTAGCTAAATATTTAGTCAAATTATAGCTAAAAACCTACTTTTCTATTTTAGTTAGTCTTATTTTTCTTGTCATGCTCCAACAAACTCTTCATTTCTTTCTCCATTCAATTTAAATATTCCTTATTTATTATTTATTTTATTTTTAGAAAAATTATATTTTTCAAATGGACACTTAACGGCCATATTTTTTAAATAGAAACTTTTGTAACGGTCATATTTTCAAATAGATACTTTTGCAACGGCTATATTTTTTAAATAGAAACTTCTATAACGGTCATATTTTCAAATGAATATTTTTGCAACGGTTATATTTTTGAAATAAATACTTTTCTAACGGTCATATTTTTTCAATATAAATAAGATCATTCCTCTTTAATTTTCATCCACATCATCCAGTTTTCTTTAACATTAAGTGTTTATTTTCTCACTATGCGTCGCAATTCTGTACACAATATGATTCTTAATGAGTCGGACTCTGATGATGAGTTAGAGATAGTTACAGTAGTCAAAATGAAGGAAGAATCAAGATCACGTCGTGGTTCTATACAACGTCATCTGTTCATTAGGCGTAATACTTTAGAAGGCCACCAAAGGCTTTTTCTCAACTATTTTGCTGTATCACCAATATATCCTCCCAATGTATTTCGAAGAAGGTTTCGAATGAATTGTGCTCTTTTTCTTCGTATTCATTCTACACTAAAAGCTTATGAACCATATTTTGTTCAAAAAAGAAATGGTGCTCGAGTGCTTGGTTTGTCCTCCTATCAAAAGATGATTGCTGCACTTAGAATGCTCGCTTATGGAGTAGCGACTGATTTTATGGATGAATATGTAAGGATTGAAGAAAGCACTGCAATGAAAAGTTTAAAAAAATTTGTTAAAGCAGTGGTTACAATTTTTTCTGATGAGCATTTGAGATCACCAAACGAAAATGACATTGCTAGATTGGTAACAATTGGCCAAAGTCGTGGATTCCCTAGGATGTTGGGGAGCATTGATTGTATGCATTGGAAATGGAAGAATTGTCCAACTGCGTGGAAAGGTATGTATTCTGGTCATATTCATGAACCTACAATTATTTTAGCAGCAGTAGCATCATATGATCTTTGGATATGGCATGCATTTTTTGGGTTACCGGGGTCTCATAATGACATCAACGTGTTAGAACGATCTTCTGTATTTACCAAGCTTGTTGAAGGGCGTACTCCTTCTGTCAATTACTCAATCAATGGTAATGATTATACAATGGGATACTACCTAGCAGATGATATATACCCACAGTGGTCAACATTTGTCAAAACAATTCCATCTCTATAATGAAATAAGAGAAAGCATTTTGCTGCAGCTCAAGAGTCGGCAAGGAAAGATATAGAACGTGCTTTTGGAGTTCTTCAAGCACGATTTGCAATTGTACGTGGACCTGCACGTTCTTGGGAACGTAAAACACTTAAGAACATTATGAAGACATGCATAATACTGCATAACATGATTATTAAGGATGAGCGAAATGTTAATGAAGCAAAAGACTACGACTACGAACAAATCGATGAAAATCCCCATGTATCTGTTTCACATGACCATATAACTGAACTTACGAAATTCATTCAATGCCATCATCGCATTAGAGATAGAGAAACTCATTCTCAACTACAATCGGACCTCGTTAAGCACTTGTGGCACCTACATAGTCAATCATAGCAACTAGTAATTTTAAATTTCGTGGCCACATGATGAAAACTCATTAGTCTTGATTGTAATTTGAAATTTTTCAAGCATTAATAACTACATAATTTTTCTCTCAATATTCTTTAGAATTTTTACAGAAGGAGACTATAAACTTCAATTGCAAATTTAAGATCTGATGCATGCCTTGCAATTGCAAATTTGCAACCAAAGCCTGTCTCATGAAGGATTACATAAAAATACAATGGGTGTAAATTTAATATAATGCACAAGATGAGTCCTCTACAAAATTATTTAACAGCTAAAAACTCTCGAAGCAGCTACAAATGGTAAAATAGAGACCTGTGAAGCATACTTCAACGGCAGGCTAACCATATTTTTGCATATAAAACAATGCAGAGAGTTAAAGATCAAACCTGTAAGCCAGCATACAGGTAATGTGAACTGTTGGGATTTCATGAGCATGACCAAGCTGGGCCCTGAATTAGAATATTTAAGAATTTCGAACTAGACAACATGTGTGGAGACTAAAGAATGACAACAACAAAGAAAAAATAATAATTGATAGAACTGCTCTTTATTTATTTATTTGTTTATTTTTGTTTACGTTCTTTTATTTTTCTCAGAATTCCAAGATTGTAAATATATGGAAGCTCTAACAATTGATTCAATCAATTTTGATTCAGTCATCATTAGGCCACGTATTTGCCGCAGCCCAACTAGCTCAGCCGAGCAACGTGGCTGGGTGGAATTACCTCCCACAACAATCAATTAGCCAGTTGTCCCTACAGGCTTGACCCATCATCATAGTCATCATTCAGTTGTTAGCAACAACACCATCTGCTAAATCTAATAAACACAAAGTGCTCATTCTGATATCTCATTCCATTAGAACGAATTTATGTGTCATCAAAATAAATACTAACAAATAAGTAACTCAAAAAGTTATACAATATTACAAACTTCCATGAAGCATCAGAAAATGTTTAGAGGAACAGTCGGTGCAAAAGCTTGGAAGCCAAATGTAATGCAGGACTTCAATTCCTCTGCTTTTTAAAGCATTTTAGTCATTAAAGATATCAATTAGTTGATCAATTACTCAAAATCTCCAAATAATATAATAGTTTTCTATAGGTTTCTGATATTTGCTGAAAGAAAAAGAAAAAGAAAAAGAAATTATATATGAAAACCAAAGAACTGTCAACCAATGACCTCCCATCAATGGCTCCATGTAAAAATCAGACACAGCCACCCAACTGCCAAAATAGACAGATAAATATGTCAATCAATAATTTTTTTAAGCAATAAGTTCAGTAGAAAAAAACATTAACCAAGAATTGAAGCTTCAATGTCAACTGCAGTATTTATTCCTCCAATAATGATCCAAATAAAAGTTCCCCATCCAAAATATGACTAGAATCCTTGTTGGGTTTCATTAGTTCTACCAACAAATTTTTGTAGAGTTCCATAGCATTCCAGTAGCAGCCAGCTACATTTGCAGCCTGAGCATATCTAAGCAGCTAAGAAGCAAAACACCCAAAAGAACAGCAGCCAACTGTATTAGTCAAGAAGACCAGATACCACAATGGTTGTTGAATTCATTAAGATCCAGTCCTCATTTATGTTAGTTAAGAAGACCAGAATACAAGGATGAAAAAGTTAGGACTCTAGTGAAAAAATACATCACTACTAACTGTATTAGTTCGTAACAAGTTATTTTCCACATACTGAACAACCAAGCTTGTGTTACAAAGGAAAAGAATACAGTCCTCATTTATGCATTAAGATGACAGATTCTTATTTATGCTATGATTATTAACCTCATAGGATTGCATTTGATTACAAATCATGGACAAATAGTCCCTGACTACCATGTCCATGTCCAAAAGAACAGTAGCCAACTCACCAACAATATAGCAAGATTTGCAGCCTAAGCATAGCTGAGCAGCCAAGAAGCAAAACACCTAAAAAACAGCAGCCAACTCACCAGTGAACACTGCTCCCATATGAATAATTCAGCTAATTAAATAAGCTTACTCCAGCATGTAGTAATTCATCAGCCAACTCAAATTGACCACCTAGCAGCAGCCACATCCCGCATCAGCTCTGTAGCAATAGCAACATCAGACTAGCATTCACTTTATAGCAAGAACAAAGTAGTAGCCTCACCAAACCAGACTCAACTCAATGTATAGCAGCATCAAACATGAGTAGCATACAGCTCAGTAAACTAATTATTGGGATTCACTCCCATAGAAGCAACAAGACACATTCCATCCAAATGGCTAGCCTCGCCAAACATTGAAGGTAGATCACAGATCACAGGGACAGAGCAGCAGTATAGAAAATTTGACAGCAGCCCCACACACCAAGGCCAGCAGCAAAACAAATAGACAGTAGAGGAAGATGAAACAAAATCTGAAGTAGAGCAGCAACAATCTATTTAAAATTAGTTCATGGAATTGCTGTTATTTACCTTTTTGCTCTCACTTTTTTGCTCTTTTAGGTCAGTTTAATTTCTCAACATAATCTATATAAAAATAATATAGAGCATTTACAGAAGGAGTTACATATAAAAGACACTATAAACTTGTATACAGATAAATTTTATACGGATTGGAGCTTCGATTTGAATTCTTCCCTCATGGAAGCCTTAATAGACCACAAAAGATGTCCAACTTTAACTAATGAACAAATAATCACCAAAAATAAACCTGGGTACACCAAGATACTTATATAATCCAGAATATAGATGCCCCTAAGCAGTCATTTATTCATTTTCATAGCAATGTAAATCAATACTTAACAAAAAAAGTGAACTGAACCATGGCGTTGTTCAACAAAAACACGATATGTTTACATAGAAAATATATTCCAATAAAAACTAACTATTTAGCACTCCTTTGACTTTCAAGAATTTCCATTTGGCGGTGAAGATAATATTCTTGTTGCATTGGGAGACAAACCATTTGTATCCATCATTATAATTCTCTCATCTTCTTTCAATTGTTCTGCTCGAATCTTTTCTTGTTTAATACGAAATTGCTCTTGGATTTTCTCTTTCATAATTTGAATTCTCTCTTGCTTAAGCTCTTGGTTAATACGATTCTGCTCTTGCTCTTGAAGACACGCTTTCTCAAGGATTTCCATTTTCTTGTCATTTGCTTTCTTTTTGTCTTCCATTATCCCACTCAATATCCCTGCATAATTTGAACCAGTTGAATCTTTAATCTTTCGTTTATTCAACCACTCTTTTTCAGCCTTCCTACCTAGTGGCCTCTCCAAGTCTACATAAGCATCATGTGAGACATCATCCTCTGCTAGATTTATCGCCTCTGGAGCAAAAGGAGAAGATGTTGCTGATGTTTTTTTTTTTTAGTTTTTTCTTCTCACATTCCTCTAACCATTTTGGTTGGTACCTCAACACATTCCAATAATGTTCAAAAGGAAATGATGCTTTTTGGAATTCCTGATACATAAGTTTGGCCTTCCCAATCTGAAAAATTAAATGAATAAACACTAATTAGCATCTTCAAACAAAATGACAATTATATCTAATTTAACGGTGTGTACACAATGTATACCTTGTCTTGCTCATTTACTCCACTTTGATGCATTGATTCAATTTGAGCAAAGAACCCACAAAACTTATTGGTTCCAAGTTGAATAGTTGACCACCGATTCATTAAAGAATTATGATTACGTTCAGAATTAAAAGTTTTGTACTTGTGGAAATACTCCCAAACTCTATTCTAGTATGTCTTGTGCTTTTGCTCATTTCCGTGTACTGCATCCAAACTTGTGTTGAGCCATGACGATATAAGGAGATTGTCTTCTTCTATAGTGAAGTTGCCACCACGTTGTGATTTCTTTGTCGTGGATTCTATTTGGGGTGACAATGGAGACTCTTGCCCAGCCACTTCACCATGTTGGCTTGAACATTGACCCATTCGATTTGGAGATTTCATCATAAATTCACCTAAAAGGTTGGATCCCCCTTGTAATAGATTGGTGAAGTACGCATCTGTTGGTGTCTGAGAATCCATCCTATGAAATGATCATTCCATTGCAATGGTGAATAATGATTCAATTTACAATGTATTCTCATTATTTTTTAATCAACTAAACATGAGAATGGACATTTCGATAAAATGATAATTCTATTCGTTTCATTTCAATGAACCAAACACTACCTAAGAACTTCTCAAATTTGAAAGTTATTGTGGCCTATCATTAACTAGATAAGACTTAAAAAATAAAAAATAAAAGAAGAAGAAGAAGAAGAAGCCCCAATCTAGTTTATCAAGGTTACTCCTTTGACAATAACATTGTAAAACTCATTATCCCATTTAAGACCAAACTGTAAACAATTCAGGGATGCAAATACCTTTGAAGAATAAATGTTAGAAAATTGATAGAGAACTCTGTTTCAACTTAATGACCTTAATGAAATATAATAGTTGATAGGAAAAGTCATTGACTGTAATATCAAAAACTGTTCACCAACATAGACAAGCTCCACCTTTGGTCATTGTTATTTTCAAAAACAATGCTTTACAATAAACTATCCAAAAGCAATTTATAGTGTTGTGTAAAATCAACCCAAAGTAATATGTATAAAGTTTGAATTCCAATCCTAAACAGCAGCAGATTCATTGCAGCAATTCAATGCACAACATGCAAGCAATTAAGAAAATTCATTAACTCCTCTACATTCAAAGCAATATTGCAGAAACTTTGAAACTTAATCTTGCATAGCAGCATATTCATTGTGGCAATTCAACAAGCACCATGCAAGCAATTAAGAAACATTCATAACTCTTGAACTGTACATTCAATATTCAGTACAAACTCGTCAAATGTTCATTCAATATTCAAAATGTAGTTCAAACTCTTGATCCAACAATCAAATCATTGAAACATTGATTCAATATTAAGTTAAGAGATCAAAAAAAAAAATAAAAAATAAAAAAAATGAGGAAGGCGAGAGAGAGAGATTGTACCGTTGCTCAATAGTTTTCGATTTCAGTCCAATAGCCGAGTCTCTGTCGCTGGTTATTTGTAGCGAGGGATTTGGGTTTGATAGAAACTACCGATTGCATTGCCGAGTTTGATGGAGCAACGATTTGATGCCTTTTCTGATTTTTCGGTATAAAATAACTAACATACAGTTTTGGCTACTTTGATAAAGATGCTCTTATATTTTGAACTTTTTAAATTTTTTTTATAATTATAAAATGCAATTTTATATTATTTGTATTGTTAAATGTTTATTTTTTTTTATAATTTTAATAGTATTATTTTGTATTTTTTATTATCTTTTAATGTTTTTTTATAATTTTATGACATATAATAAATAAATTTAATTATATATATTGAATGTATTCCCAACGTGTCGTGTCTCCCATTTTTTAAAAATTTTTGTGTCTCTATGTCCACGTCGTATTACGTATCCGTACTCATGTCCGTGCTTCATGACTTCCTCTAGTGAGGGGTTGAAACCCACTTAACAAATGCTAAAGTAAGTTGAGAACAAGTTTGTTGTCCAAAAAATGAAGGAATTCTGGGAATTAAATCATTCATTTGAATCAAGCAACAATTAAGAAATTCGTTTGGCATATATGCAAAAAGTTAAATATTCTATGGGTAATGTCAGAACTCGTATTTTTACATATTAAATTATTTTGATAATTATATTTAGCTACTTAAATATTGTAATCAATATTCATAATCTAATTCCATAATAACATTTTGTGACGAAATTCTATAATTAACTTTTAATTATTTAATTAGAGCAATTTTTTATCTTCATAGTATTATTATTATTATTATTATTGTTGTCATCATCGTCGTTGTCGTCACTTTTATGACTACACAAATATAATTCTTGATATATATTATTTTGTATAAAGTTTTGCATTAATAAATTTTGTACAAGAAAATTAACCAATGAAGATTAATTGGTTCAATCTTAAGTCTATTAGCTACATATAATAATATTATAATATTAAGTCAACTAATAGTGATTATTAAACTATTAAATTAAATGTTAATAGCATCATGATTAATACCAATATTAAACCCTTTTAAATAAATTTATTTATCTTAATGTGATTAAATTTCTATATCTAAATACAGTTGTGAAATTTTTTTTAAACAAATAGTAACTAAAATTTCATCAAAAGTTCTCCTTAATGGGAAAAATGTCGAATATAATGAACTAAAATCTAGATAGAGTGGAGTTTTAGATTGCCAAAAATGTAGAACAATGGATCTTAATGTTCATAGAGTTGTGTTGTTGAACAACTAATTTGAAGAAAAATAGACAATGATATATTTGATGTCAAATTAAAGAGTCTACCTGTATCGTACCACATTTTAGAGTGTGTGGCGTATCACATTCCCATTCTTCATACCAAAATGATCTACGTTCTAGGTAACATAGGTTGCCGTAATAAAGCCAAGGATCACGTGTACTTTATTTTTAGAAGTTCCTAAACATTGAATTATTAATTACATGTTAATAATTTGAATAGATTAGCATATGTTGTGCTCGCCCAATTACAAGGTAATTAGTCTAAAGTCATTAAAGTAAAAACACTAAAAACAAACTGTGGGCAAAGTTCCGAAAGTCTCTTTCCAAAAAGGATTGAGATTCATAACCTGAGTAGTGTGAGAATTTCAATAAAAATACCATATCAACGGTCTTAAAATCGGAGATCTATTCGAGGCCCCACCTACTTTTTCTCAAGACATCACTAAGAAATTGAAAATCTTAAAACTTTGACACCTTAGATAAGGGTCACGTTTGATAGAGTTGTGAAAAAATGATTGTAAATTATAATTTAACAAATTATACCTTACAACTGTGAACATAAGCTGATAACCTATTTAGTATAACTGCGAGATTATAAATTTAAGCAGTATAATTGTGTTTGATAAATAATCTGTAAAATAACTTTTTATTGTGTAATTGTCATTTTTGCCCTTATGAATATAAAAATTGTGATTTTGAAAAAATTATTTTATTAATTTTGTCAAGTGATTAATTCTTATTATCTAGTTCCTCCCAATTTTATATATTTTCTTCACGCCTTCATTCTTCTTCTTTTTATTATTTAAATTTTGTTCTTAATGTGTGTAATATTCTCTAAATATTTAAATAGAAATACAAAACAACTTGCCTTTCCAATTAAGGCACAACAAGAAACTCAACTTTGCTGGCTTTTATCCATAATTTGCTCAATAATGTTACATAATCCGAAAAGTGATCAGCTTAATTAAATGGATTGATGGCTTATGTTAGTGGATTAAATAAGTTCCATTCACACTCCAACCAAACACTGGGCTTAAAGCACATCACAACTGCCACAATTGTGGAAAATGCAAAGGAAACGAATTTAAAGGACATTTGAGACATCCCTGTGGCTGTATGATCTATAGTTCTCTATGAAGTAGGCCTGTATTAACAGAGGTATATCATGTGTTTATTAACAAGCACAAGATGCCTTCACGTTCAGCACAAATACATCAGAGGAAGATGGAGTTCAGAAAGGTATTCATGCAACCAAGGAGAACCTATTCCTGTAAATGGAAGACACCCACGTGTGGAACAAATAAAAAAATAATGCATCAGGCAACAAGAAATAGGCTGCTTTGAAAAGTATAGATATGTTTATTAATTCTCAAGGAGAAATTGATAATTACGGCATTACATTCCTTTTGGGATACTCTTTGTTACTTGACAACTATTATTATCCTAATATCTGTGCTTCTTTTGGAGTGTGATCGAATTTTGGCCACTGCCACTCTGCGTTCTTCAATGGATTGGCTTGAGAGATTGCGGACAAGTGCTTGAATGGCTGCTATGTCCCCACTAACATCACAGAATGATCCATCACTCTTCTTTATCCGCCCATTGGCCAATGCCATTTAACGCTCAATATTGTGCTCGACACACCACTGAGTAATTAGACTTCTCAAAACATAATTTGGGGTAAGTGTGAGATTTTGGAGTTTTTGTTGAGTTTTTGGGCATGTTGTGTTGCCACAATCTATCCATCTCTGTATGTAAGATCTCTCATATGTCTGTAAAATCAAGAGGCAGATAAAATTCGAAAGAAAGCATAACAAGGATGTCTGAGCTTTTAAAAATTCTTAAACAACACCATGTCAACATATACCTGTCCTGTGGCAACAATAACAGGATCCCTCATCAGTTCTAGAGATATTGGGCAAAGGCTCATCAGGAATTACAGGAGAATTAGGCTTTTTATACTCTTGATGATTTCTGGTCGCATCAAAATTATTTTGTTGACACTCCTCAGATGATGCAGATGAGTCACTTGGTCTTTCTGATTCAAGATTTGTTTGATGTGTACTATGACGTTGTGAACCATTGCCTTTTGGAGCAGAAACAACCTTCATTTGAACTTCATGATCAATATTACCTATATTCTCTACATACAAACTTCCCATTACCTTACGGCTAAGTGGTTGCAGATCGATTTCTTTTTCTAGTGGCTGGGATAAGGCACGAGATAATATTGTTGAACTTAGAGGCCCACTATATCTTTCAGTGGCTTTTCTCAACCGTGTTTTCACTAATTCAACCTAGAAAGAGAAAATCAGAAAAACTTCACAAAATTCACAAAAATGGTCCACTTTTTTGCATAAATTATTAAAACTTCACAGCTTATATATTTATTTTAGTTTGGCCTACTGGAAAGTGGTAACAATAGTTACATTTGAACTCATCAAACTAAGGGTAACAAACTTCACAACAAGTGAAGGTTGGACAAACTTCACAACAATAGTAACAAACTCATCAAACTTCACAACAATAGTTACATTTGAACTCTTTATATTTGTCTTGTTTATTCATCTTCTATTTGTGACCATGAATTGATTAAGGAAAATTCTCTATTAGTAATTGCCAGTAGTTGAACTTATCAAACTAAGGGTAACAAATATCATGTATTTCACAAAAAGTTTTTGTCATCCAAGCATATAAACCAGAGAAAGCATTACACCAGAGAAAGTTTTTGTCAAGGAAATATTTTCTGCCATGGATGTAAGGTCGGCACTACACCAAAGAAAGCATTTAAACTGTGAGGTCAGCACTACAACAGATCAGTCAAATACCAACTATGAATTTCCATTTTCTCCAAAAACCCAATCTCCAAAAACCCAAAGTTTTTGTCAACATTTAAACTAATTGGGCCAATCTTTAAATATATATATATATATATATAATAAAAAAAAAAACCAAAAAATTGAACCAAAAGTGATTTTGATTTTAACACTACAGCAAACAAGTGAACAAGAATTGAGCAAAAATTTAACAAGAACACTGAAAATTGAGCAGAAGATTATGCAAATCGGAGAAGAAGAAGAAAGCGAAGAGAGGAATGGAGTGTGATCTGGTCTCCGTCTGTAAACCCTAACTCGATGTGTGTATATATATATATATATCACAAACAAAAGGCATGAACTCTTACCTTTTTGGTGCAGATCAATGGAAACAAGGATGGAAGGAGATGTTGGAGATGTGGAGGAGTTCGATCGGCTGCTGTGGAGGATCGTCTTCAGTGTCGCCAAGAGAGGAAATGAGAAGAGGAGTGTGAGGAGAGGAGCGGGCTACGGCAACAAGAGGGTTTATATAGTGGCAATTCTGTAATTGTTGAAGTTTTGGAGGGGCATTTTAGTCATTTCATCACCCATGAACCAGCTGCGCGCTTAAGCTTTAAGTCATAAGCATGCCTCGAGCAACTTCTACATTTGAGCTGAAAATAGCTTTTTTAAAGCTATAATTTGATCATTTAACTTGTACCAACATAATACCTTAAATTAAGTCAAAAGCTGAAATAAGTTGCTTTTAACTTTTACCAAACAGGGCCAAGGTATGAGCTACAAGCAAGAGGATTGAGTTTCAGAGCTAAGGTACACGGTAGAAAGGTGTGAGGCACCCATCCTGTCCAAACATTAGGTTGGTCTCTACTCTATTTTATTTGATTCAATTAGTTAAATTTGTTAAACCTTTTAATAATGCATGATGACATATGTAAACAAGTAAACAAAATAAATAGAACATGCAATAGAATGAGAACAGATGCTCATTCGGATAGGAATCACACCAAAACTTTTGAACTGTAAATTCACCTCTAAGCAATAAACCTAATGGCTTGGGCCCAACCCCCAAGTGTTAACCCTAGGTTTTAACTAACAAATGTGAATTTACCTAATTGATGAAAAATGACAATTTCCATGATTTTTAAAAATAAGTCAAATGATTTTGAAAAGAGAAATCTCCATATTCATCAAAATTAAGGATCATGGGCAATGGTAGTAGTGATGAACATACATTCGTGAGACTATCCAACAGTTCGCAAAATATTGCCCTCAGTCCACTTATCTTGTGAACATACATCCAAACTTTTATGAAGATGAAGATGGTCGGTGGTAGTAGTGATGAGCAATTGATAGTGGCCGGAGGGGGTGAAAAAGAGAAAGAAATCAAATTTATTTTTCAAACAAACGAAGCAAACTTTTGTGTTCAATTAAAGAAATTAGTAATTTTTTAAATTGTTTATGATTCTTTAAAAACAAAAATAGTCAATTAACGAGTATTTGTTTCAAATTTTGTGTTCACATATAAAATAACTGAAAATTGCAAAAAAATCTAGTGCTTGTCTATTTTAGTTTTCAAGGAATTGTACACAAAATTTATTAAATTTTAGTAATTAATTAAAACTATGTGATTCCAATCCTTGATTGACCTTCGGCATGTGAACAACCCATTCTCCATCAACCTACAAGCTTCTACTTCAAAGAACAACTCCACTCCGACACTTAACTACCTTTACCAATTAATCTTCTCAATAAGAACGTATTCCTTATCCTCAACAAAGCTTTCTACTTCTCATTCAGTGATAGCACCTTATATCCATAGAGACAGTCACTAATCCACAGATAAACCTTAACCTCTTAACAATAATCATCTTCTTTGGGTTACCATTTGCATTGCTGTTGAAGATGAAGATGGCCGATGGTGCTAATGAGCTGTGGGTGGTGGCCAAATAGGGTAGGAGAGAGAGGAAGGAGTAAAATTTCATTTTCTAAACAAATGAAACCAACTTTTCTATTTAATTACAACAATTTAGTAAATTTTGTAAACTGTTTACAATTCTTTGGTTTGAAGGTGAAAATAGACACCTAATAAGCTTTTGTTTACAATTTAATTATTATTATTATTTTTTTTGTGTAAAAATACACATTACCCGAGCTTGTTCAATAATGTTTACTTTTACAATTACGTGTTTAAGTCAATAAATAAATAAAGAAAATTGACAAATAAGTTTTTTCGGTGTGTATTTTCCTTTCTAAAGAATTGCAACCCATGTACAAAATTTATCAAAATCCAATAATTAAAAAGGAAGTTGGTTTCACTTGTCTAGAAAATAAGCCACAAAAGTAGCATGTACGTCATTTTGTCAAACATTAACCACAACAGAATGGAATTGAGATTGAGAATGTATAGTTCAGAAGAAGAGGGAGAAGATAGCAAAGAAAGCAACTGGGAATTAAAATGGAAAAATAAAACTCAAATTTTAAAAGACATAATTGTTGTGAACACTTCTATACCTCAAGCAAAACTTGGTATCACTTTTCGTCTTGACATTAACTCTTAAAACTATTGTATGCCAACCACTACTAGCTCCCACATTCGGCTACCCACACCTCCAATCACCATCGTCGGTGAGCTCTTTAGGCCACAAACACTTGCTATTGATAGAAATAACCTTTGATCATCACCACTTGGCAGAAACCACCTACGAACGCCATCTTTTGCAGAAAAGCTACGGCAACCACCTCTAGCGACTGACAACCATGTTCCACCCAACTTCCACCGATGATGACCTATCACTACCTCTCGCCATAAACCATCACAACACTAAATTAACAAGAAGAAAAAGAAGAATCTAAGTCAAATTTAGATTCAAGAATAGACTAATTTAGTCCGTGTGTTCAGGGGATACAAGGGGAGGACGTTGGTGGTGAGTTGGATATTATATAAGGTGCATCCCACATATTTTGTTGTCTCTCTATATTCGGCGTTTGTACTCTGAATATAGGAAGTCTGGATTTTGTTTCCCTTGAAAGGAAGGGATATGCAATACCACACCCCAATGGTATTCTATATCCTCTCTTCCAAAAAAAGGTTGCTTGACTCTCGGATGCCACACTGCCCCTTCTTCTAGAAACAAATGGTTATAAAACCCCACAATCTCGAACTTAACTTGTCAACTCCACCCCATCCACCCACATTTCGTCAATTTGATTCACCCTCTGATAAGCATTGGCCATCCGCTGAATTTTTTTAGTTTTATTTTTTATATTACAATCCCTGTCTTTCAAACACAAGCACCTTGATTTTTGAAAAAAATTGATTTCTTCTATCCAATCAATATGTCCAAAGTCCCCACTTCCGCAAGGCGTCCTCTCCACTCAGACCCCCCCATTGCTTCCTTAACATCTAGGTCATGCAACACTGCCAACAAAAAAAACCTCCTTGTTCCACAATTTCATATCTAACTTTAGCATCTCCAATTTCTGTGCTAGAATGGAACTATGCATGTCTGACCCAACATAACTGTCCCATCACCCTTTCACCCTGTCTAGAAAGCCCTAAGATTTTAACCACTTATTCTCACAGTGAAAAGGTGAGGGATTGCTCTGAATCCCTCCATTATCAAGTAAGATAGGCCAATGATCCAACACCGGTCTAAAGAATCGAACCTAAACAACCTATGAAAACTACTCCTCCCACCCACCAGTCAACAAGAACCAATCAATGCGAGATAGAGCATGCCCGCTAGACCAAGTATGGTTGCTCCTTGCAATAGCAAATCAATCAACTGCAACTCATCAATAAAAGAGAAAAATGCCCCTACACTACAATGCGTTCCATCTAAAAGCAACACTCCAATTCTTCCACAAAAAAAAGCATCTCCTGGCCCCTAACTTAACCATACACCTCTGTGAACACCCATCAGAGGTTATCCTCACATACCGAAAACAAGCAAGAAACTGAAAAGCCCCCCAGCTCTTCCCCTCCCCTCCCCACCACCCTTTTATCCTAATAAATAAGAACCCCACTTGCCGCCCCTATTTCTGGAAGGTACGTCCATCCATAAACCTACTGCCCCCTCCCCAAATTTCCTTCATTATCTCGGCCCCCACACACTCCATTTTAGTCTCCTAAATGCACACTTTAGCACTTCGTAACAAAGATCGAACTGCCACCCTTTTCCCTTCATCATTCAAACTGAGCATATCCAAGAAAGGATCTTCAACCTCATTCAAAAAAATAATTATTCTCCCATCCCTTTCTTGCAACCCCCCACTCCTCACTCGGCCCCCGTCATAATTTAAGGAACATTCAAGATTCTGCAATTCTCTAACACCCTTCTGCCATTGCACCACTGGCCTGGCTACCTCCTGAGACAGCACACACTACTCCACAATGCCTCGATTGTTACAAAAAAATTATGGCTTTATCCTCGTGTCCCTCAAATGAGACCCCCAACAAACGACTGGCCTCGCTCATTCTGCTCAGCACCCATTCCAACACCTCCTCCGATATGGGTTCAACACTTCCTCCAAAGACATCATCACCAACTCCTTCCAAACCCCCCACACCCTGGAAAGAACTAATCAATTTTGATACCAAGACTTAAGTAGCATGTTTGAAAAGAAAAGAAAAAAAAGGTTATTATTTGGACCTAACAAAAAAATTCTTTTCACCATAAAAAATCCAAGCAATACAAAAATAAGACAGATCATTTTTATTTTTCTTGGTACTTATGACTGATAATCCTAATCTTTAGTCCCAGACACATTTATTGATGGGTAGCCCATAATTAGCTTACCTCCCAAACTAATATATTTAAATAAGGTGAATTTGTTTGCAAACTATTGGCTTTTTATTCAAAATTGGAAGCTGATTCACACTCACAATTTAAGCTCAACATTTGTTCTTCTGTTCTCAAAATTGTGCATCAAAAGAAAGTAATAGTTATCAACAAGATCTAAGCTCAACATTTTCGTACACATGTACAGAGAAAGGGGACAAAATATTACAAAAATCTCAGAATACATTGGACAACAAATATAGTGTCTATATAGAGAGAGAGGGGGGATACCTCTGAGAGGTACAGTGGTTGAAGAGGACGGCGGTGGTGGTGCTGGTTGACGGCGGTGGCAGATCGGCCCACGGGAGTGGATGACGATGGCTGTGACGGTGGGGTATATATATAGAGAGAGAGAGGGGTATAATTGTGATAGTTACAGTGGCAGAGGACGACGGAGGTGTATGAGAAGATGGCAGTGGAGAGGAAGACCACGAGTAGGAACCGTTTTGTTTTCAGATTAAATAAGTAGTGTAAATTCTCAGTTAGTTGAATAAAGTTAATTTTCTAATTTTTCCGAGGAATAAAAAATATATACCATTATATTTTATTGCGCAAATTTTTTTTATTATCGGTAGAAAATTTTAATCAATCTGTTTGGTTTTAATTTTTTAAAATTTAATTTTTAATTTTTTGTATTTTTTATTTTCGTTGAATATTTTTAAAATTTGAAGTATTTTTTTTTTATTTTTTTAGATACAATTTACGTAAGGTTTAGGGTTTACGATTTGAGACTTAGAGTTTGGGATTTGGGGTTTAGTATTTAGGGTTTAGGAGTTCGGGTCTAAGATTTAGAGTTTAGGATTTAGGGTTTAGGGTTTGGGATTTAGGGTTTGGGGTTTAGCGTTTAGGGCTTGGAGTTTGGGTTTTGGGGTTTGGAGTTTTGGGTTTAGGATTTAGGGTTTGGAGTTTGGGGTTTGAGGTTTCGGATTTAGGGTTTAGGGTTTGGGATTTAGGGTTTAGAGTTTGGGTTTAGGAATTAGGGTTTTACGTTTAGAGTTTAGGATTTAGGGTTTAGGATTGAGGGAGGGCATAGGGTTTAGGGTTGAGAGTTTAGGGTTTTGGGCTAAGGGTTTAGGGTTTTAGGGTTTATGGCTTAGGATTTAGGGTTTAGGATTTAAGATTTTGGATTTTAGGGTCTAGGGTTTAGGATTTAGGGTTTTGGGATTTTTAGGGTTTAGGGTTTAGGGGTTTGGGGTTTTGGGGTTTTAGGGTTTAGGGTTTAGGGTTTTTGGTTTTGGGGTTTTGGGTTTAGGGTTTGGGGTTTTAGGGTTTAGCGTTTAGCGTTTAGGGGTTACGGGTTAGGGTTTAGGGTCTAGGATTTAGCGTTTAGGGTTTAGGGATTAGGTGCACACTTGGGCTATGTTATGTAACGCCCTCAAAAAAATAAACCCATTATATATATCATTGACATGCATTATTTAAAGAAAACACTTTAATAATTCATTATAATATCCATTAACCAGACACACGCTCGAGCGAAGGAACTATCGCTCGAGCGAAGAACGAACTAACTCGCTCGAGCGAAGAAAAGCTCGCTCGAGCCAAGAATGCACAGCTACAGGTCCAAAATCAGACGCAACCTCTCGCTCGAGCTACCAAACCCCGGCTCGAGCGAAGAACCAAAAATAACAGCTCGCTCGAGCGACAAACTCCTCGCTCGAGCGAAGATCCAAAATTCTGGACAACAACACTTGGTTTTTAAACCCAACCAACCTGAAACAAACCTGCCCAACACATCCTATAAGTCCAAATGAGAAAATAAAGGACAACAACAACAATTATATAATGACAGAATCTACGGAACCTAAGTCCGGATACAATAATCAAATGGGAGAAGACCGGGGTCGCTATATGTTATGTGTTCCCGGACCTCGCGGGCAACCAGTCGTAGGAGGAACAGGGAGGTGGGAGGGACAAATCGGAGCGACGTAGGGCTGAATCTCAGTGGATCGTGGCAGCAAGGCCACTCTGTCACATACAATACCCCGTCGCGTATTTAAGTCATTTGTAAAGGATTTTACCCGCTGCTCGAGATAGGAATTGTACTTTAAGGCGCCCGCGTGGCTCATCCACCATGTGGGCTTCACCAACAACACGTGCCTTTGGGGGCTGGACGACCCCTACTGTGGGTCGGCAAGCGGGCGGCGGGCGCATGTGTCACTTCTAGCCCGGATTTTGACTTAGAGGTTTTCAGTCATAATCCAGCGCACGATAGCTTTGCGCCATTGGCTTTTCAACCAAGCGCGATGACCAATTGTGCGAATCAGTAGTTCCTCTCGTACTAGGTTGAATTATTATTGCGACACTATCATCAGTAGGGTAAAACTAACCTGTCTCACGACACTCTATACCCAGCTGTAGCTCGACTTTCTGTGCTCCTTTCGGATATGACTAGCCCTACAGTTCGGACTCTCGCGGTTCTGAATCTAATTCCACAAGTGCAATGTGAAATAGATAAACACCAAAGAGTCCAAATCCGGCGAATCTTTTGAAAAATCGATTTTGAATCAAATTGCCAAAAATAGACTGCTTTGCCAGATACAGAGTCATCACCTAAATATTTTTTGAGAAATTTAGGAAACCCATAACTCTTGCCAAAGGCCACATGTCCGTCATCACCAAGATTGTCTCGGCGCGGGAACTTAGGTACGAGAGGGGAAGGCCATGAATTGAGCACCCCCGCTCACCCGATCAAAGATCGGCCTTTACTAATCATGATGTGAATCTTATTTACATTATATGCTCTTGTTCCGATTATTAGGCTATTGTTACTATGTGATGCGCACACAAGTATAGACTAATTTGCAAAAAATTGGAAAACTTTGATTTATGTTTGTTTGAAAAGTGTTTCGAATATGTACCATTTGAAAAAGTGATCGCATATGAATATTACTCAAATTATTCCAATTCAAGAAATTAGCCTTCATTCACAAGCATTCAATAAGAAATATCAATTAAGCAATTAGCCTTATGGCAAGCATGCTAAAGATGATAACAATCACATGCATGCGATATGCTAAAACACAAAAATGCTCACCTCGTATTCCAAGGCAAGCCAAAAGAAACAAAGAGTTAGAAAACATGCATGCTCCTGTGGGCTCGCCTTTTTTCGCACCCCCTTTCGAAAGGTTTGAAAATAAGGGCCTCACAGTTCGAACTCCCGCGGTTCTGAATCTAGTCTCACAAGTGCAATGTGAAACTGATAAACACCAAATGGTCTAAATCCGGCAAATCTTTTGAAAAATTGATTTTGAATCAAAAAGTGCCAAAATTAGACTACTTTGCCAGATATAGAGTCGCCACCTAAATATTTTTGTTTTGGAAAAATTTAGGAAACCCTGACTCGTGCCGAAGGCCACGTGTCCGTCATCACCAAAGTTGCCTCAGTTTGAGAACTTAGTTACGAAAGGGAAAGGTTATGAATTGAGCACCCCCGCTCGCCCGATCAAAGATCGGCCTCTACTAATCATGATATGATTTTTTTTATAAACATTATGTGTTCTTGTTCCGGTTATTAAACTAGCTTTACTATATGATGCGCACAAGCAAGTATAGACTAGTTTGCTCAAGTTGGAACAATTCAACTCATGTTTGTTTGCGAAAATGGTTTGAAATTGCCACCTCAAGTGGGCTTATAAATTGATTTGAACAACATGCGATTAAACACGTATTCAAATAAGTATTGAAATAATAATGCAGTTTGAATGATGCGCCGAGCCTCGGTGTATGCAAAACAAAATGAATGGATGTAAGCATAAGGTATGCTAATTGAAATATGATGTCCCTAATCTAACCATCAAAAGTGATTAAATAAAAGGGAAAAAGACGTGGGGTTAGAAGAAATGCACACATGCACGCACACTTATTACAACATTACGCCCTCGCGAAGGAGGGTCCGAATGAATAAGCTAACTAGCTAACTAGGCTAATTAAGCTAATTATTACAAAACTTGAAATGAATTAACTAACTATTCTAAGCTAAATAATTATTACAAACTGAAATCGAATAACTAGTTAAACTAACTAATTGTTTACAACACTTACAACTAATTAATTACAGCATGTATTTAAACTATTGCTAACTAATTAGCCAAATCCGAGAAGCGAAGGATGCATGCATGCTCAATTCTTCACCCGAAAGGCCACTGTCTTGCTACTGAATGCCTCTGTTTGCACATATGAACATCGAAAATGCTGCCCACTTCCAGAACATCTCTCCCACACCTTGCCAACACACCGCTCAATTTTCATTGATGGTCGACATGGGGTCGGTCGGCTACCATTGGTGGGCGGTCGGCCACTGGTGATGGCTGTTGACCACTATTGGTTTGAACTTTCCTTGCTGCAACAGAGAGCAAAACAGTGTTTTTCTCAAGGGTTGTTTGTACACTTTGCCTCTCATTTTCATGGGGAAATCAAAGGAGGGACAAGCTTTGGTTCACAAAACATCAATCAAGCAATTCCATTGCATGATGGCTTGTGAAACCAATTGTGCAAGTTTAATAAATGCAAGAATAAGGCTCAAAGAGACCATCACACTATCATGCATGATCAAGGGCAATGGAGACCAAGGAAAGTGGCACATTTCATCACTTTTGAGTACGAAATGTCTCATTTTCCTTGTGTTCAAACTAACATCCGATTTGAACACATGCAATGCAACATAAAGAATGCTTATCTTGCCTCTTTTACTTGCCAATTTTGTTTACTCATTTTAATTACCAAATCATTCATTAATCCATTAAGTCCATTGGTGAGTGTCCTCTAATGGAAAGAGGGCTCAAACCCCTAGTTGTTTTGGGCATGAAAGAGGCATTACACTGTTGGTAATGAACCCCCTAAGGGATTAAACCATTAGGTATAGCACCTCCATTCCACACTTAGGCAAACAAGTGGTTTGAAACCACTTTCAAAGCAAATCAAAAGTGAAGAATTGAGAAGGGGTGCAGAGATGGATTAAGTGCTGGAAATGAATGATAAAAGCACTAAAACATACAATCAACTCAAGCTAATAATAGTTAAAGCCTTAAAACACTAAGCTAGTGAAGGAATTAACACTACAACCATGCCATGCAATGCTGAAATGAAAAAAATAACCAAAAATAGAGGCAAAACAACCCTAAATATGGTCTAAAACATGCTGGACTTAAGCTAAGTTAGGCTAAAACAATATGCTAACATATGAAACTAACTAGACATGCAAACAAGACACAAGGAGGGGAGGCTAACCCCTCCAAATTTTGATCTCAAAATAAGTTTTTTGCAACTGAAAAACCTTTGAAATTCAATGGTTAAAAAGCCCAAAAAAAGTTGATTTGAAAGTGATGAATAAAGGCACAAAAGCTTTACAAACTAATAAGTAAGGAGGGTGAACCACTCCCTAACTAAAAAAAAGGGTCAAACCACCACTTTTAAGCCACAAAATAGAACTTTTTACAGTTCAAAACCAACCCCAAAATAGTTCAAAAACAATAGAAGAAGATGGCAAAACAAGTATAAAAAGAGAGTGTTATACCTCTTGAAGGGAAGACACAAATGAGGCAATAAACCAAGCCAAGACCACCTTCTAAAGCTCAAAGAGGGTCTCAAGCAACCTCAGCCCAAAGATAAGCAACTTTGGTTAAGGGTTGATAGGCAAACTTGAAGTGTATCTACACTTGTTTGCACAAAAGTTTAAGAGAGAGAGAGAGATCTAGAGAGAGAATTGTAGAGAGAGAGACTCCCAAAATTTTTTCAACCTTGAAAACAATAGATAAGGTCCTCTATATATAGAAATATATGGCTTCAGGTCGAAAATATCAATATAGGACAATTGGAGCAGTGTGGAACAGTTGGAGGGAAAATATCTGCAGAAAACGGCCTTTTTTGCACCAATGGCCGACTGGCCATCACTGGTGGCTGAAAAAGCTTATTCATGGCCGACACACTTCACCCCTGGCTGACACATGGCCGTCAAACCTCACTAGTGGCGGACAAGCAAAAAATTGGTTTCTGGCCCCGACTTCAAACAAGCATATCTCTTTCGTCCAGACTCCGTTTAAGGTCATTCTTGAATCTAAATTAAAGCCCCGGAAGTAAGCTTTCCAATGGTGGCAGCCTCACATAAAAATTTCAAGTGTGCAAAAAGATATTCCTATTTTAGTGAAGACTACTCAGTTTTGGTCCTAACCGGATTCATGCCTAACTTCTCCTCAACTAGTTTTCTTCCATCTCCTCCTATTTTCTTCAACTCAAAACCTTTAAATAAGATGTTTTGAAAGATTTTTCAAAGAGTTCACCTCTCTTTCATTTATCTCCACTTTGTCATTGTTCGGTTTACCGAAAAGTGCATTTTAACGAAATGTGAGCCTCGGATCATCATAGAAACTTTTTCAAAAATATTTTGAAAGAGAGGGTTTAAAGGTCTAAAATCATTTTGTCAAAATAGTTTTGGCCCAAAATGGGGTGTAAGGTTGGGATTTGACGCTCTCCTTGCTGAAGAAAGCGAACCTTTGCATAGCATAACTTTCATCATCGAGTAATCAATCAGTGGCGCCCAAGTCTTAAAGGCGGTAAAAAATGGGGTGTCTACAGTTGCCCCTCTTTGACAGAGCTCAAAGCCATGAAGTGACGTGAGTGAATGTCAAAACCCGAAGACGACCCATTTTGACAAGGCCATAAGACTTGGGCAAACAAGCAAAATGCAGATGCAGTTGGTTGAACTTGATGGTTACCTACGTATCCCTTTGTAAGGAATCAAACCAGTGTAGTTCAGGGGCAAGATACAAAATGATACACAATTGTAATGAAATCATGCAAATGATATACAATGTGATGAAATCATCAAACCACCAGCAGTGTAAAACACACAAATATCATGAAGGATTGACGATGCAAGTCAAACTATGTTTTATATAGAAAAGGTGCCGGAGCACTCTAACCATAATTCTTGCGGAATAGGCACATGCACATGCAGAACTATGTTTTTCGTAGAAAGAGAAAGAGTACAAATAATTGGATGGTATGATATAAGTGAGGAATGATTTGCTAGGAAAAGATGATGCTGAATGCTAAATGCAACAAGACAAAGTACAATGCAATGGATGCAGTGAATAAGGCGTAGGCCAAACCACATTTTACCTATAAATGGTATGAACACAAAACAAACCACGTCTAACACAGAAAAGGTGCTAAAAACCTTAGACCACAATTCTTGCAGAATATGCACGAACACATGTAGAGCTATGTTTTAACGTGAAAAGGTATGGACACATGCCAAACCAAGCTTAACATGGAAAGGATAGTATGATAAAACAGATAATGCAGTAGATGCATGCAATAAATTCTATATGCAATAGAAGTGATAGATGTGATGCAATAGATAATAAATGCGATGTAGCAGCTAGGAAGTGAAAGTACCTTACAGAGGCAATTGGTGATGACTCACCTTATGCTGTTGGGGATCTTCCATTTTTTTTGGTTAAACCACAGGTACTACTCTTCTCCCTGCTATGTTCGCAACTTTCTCTATTCTTCAACAGGGTGACAGACTAGGTTGGGTTAGTATCTAGAATTGAGGCGCATACAAGCTACCTCAACATATGGGGCTGCCATACAGATTTCAAGTCGATGATACACCCTTCGATATTTAAACCAGACTTTATTCTCGGAAATCCCGAACCTTTGCATTCTAGGCCTTGGCCATTCGAACCCTAGTTTCCACCGTCTCAGTTGATCTCCTAGGAACTCACCGCAAACACAGGCAGGTGGCTATACTAGACCACTGGAAGTCGTTTGGGCGCGACAAACACCAAAGAAATTGCACCTTTAGAGGATTTAAGGTCTCCTAGACCAAGGACTGCACAAGACAGTGCGAGTGATACAAAAAAACAAGGTGCACAAGACAGCGCGAGTGAGGGTGAATGAACGCACAAAATAGTGCTATACAAAATGCAATGCACAAGATAGTGCGACGTAAGATGAAATGCACGAGATAGTGCGATGAAATGCACAAGACAGTGCTATGCAATGCACAAAATAGTGCGATGTAATGCACAAGATAGTGCGAGGGGAAGTGCACAAGACAATGCTATGCAATGCACAAAATAGTGCGATATAAGATAAAATGCACAAGACAGTGCTATGCAATGCACAAAATAGTGCGATGTAAGATGAAATGCACAAGACAATGCGAATAAGGTGCACAAGATAGTGCTATGCAGGTGAAATGCACAAGATAGTGCTATGCAAGTGCACAAGATAGTGCGATATTGTCACGTCCAAACCTGCCTTTAAAAGTTTGGTCCATGACTGGCCTATATACAGGCCTCAAACAAAATTTCATGAATATTTATTCAAATATGGGGCCTTAAGCGGAAGCAAATACCAACATAAGGGTAACGCCCATTGAGCTTGTGCATACATGAAGACTTAGATTAATTTAAGCATTTAAATATACTTTCCATATTTACACATATAATCACAGAACTTATATAGATCTCACACACAAATACATAAGACTCAATAAAAGACATAATTTTCCAATACAAAGTTAAAGCCTCGACATGGAGGCATAACCCAGTTGGTTTGATAGAGAGGCGGACCTCGATACAACTCTAGCGATGATCCCCGATGGCTTACCTACATATATAAAATAAAAAGGGTGAGTTAACGCCTAGTGAGTAATATTAAAGTAAAGAGGTTAATGAATGATGTCCTTAACATTAGGAGAATATATTTCGTAATTCTGAAATGTATCTTAAATCATTTCAAAAGAGACATTTACCGTGTCATAATCCATGCCTTTTCAAATGGAATACAAGTTTTAAACCATTACAAAACATTTTACGTGGTACGTGGTACGCTCACTTATACACTAGGATAGAAGCACATTTCAAAATAGGACATCCATTCATGCATATAAAATAATACTTCGTAACATGAGTCATATAGCGATGTAAAAACATTTGTATTCATTTCATATATTCTAAATGACCTCAGGTCCATGTATAACAAAACGGCCTCAGGCCCAATCATACTTCAAAACGACCTTAGGTCCATACGTATCATATCGTATCATGGAGTAGATGGAACATCGACATGTACCCACCTCTCCGTGGGCCCAATTCATGTATGTATGGATCCAAGAGGTGACTCGTACGGACCCTAGAGGTGACTCCCACTGTAGCACTTAGTTCCGTACAGCACTTTGTTTTGTACAGCACTTTGTTCCATATTAAAAGTAAATGGGTCTTAAAGACCGAACAATCATG